ATTATGGGTTGTCGGGGAGTTCATTATTGTTGTTATTTTGTAGCGTTGTCAATACCAGGGGATTTGCTGGCTCTAAAAAGCAGAACAATTTGGAGAAAAATCCACAGTGAACAGAGTAGTTTCACAGTCACTGGCCCGTGAATCTGAATAATTAACAATGTCTTTCTGGAAATTGCTTCCACAATCTCATTTGGAAAGAAACTAGTTTTAATCCATCAAATATTATTGTATTGAGCTCATGTACATTGTGAGTGAATGAGTAACTGATGTGTGGAGTAGCATTGCAGTGATCGTCCGAGCGAACATCACGCCGTAACTGGTACGCCGTATCGATCGGTGTCCTTCGCGGCCTTGCACTACGCTACGCTAGATCGCTGCAGTGGTCCAGCTGACGGTGCGTATGGGTGCGTACCCGGGGTACATGTACGTAGTTACATCGTTACCCCATCCCACTAGTATTTTCAAACCATCAAGGTAGATGTTATTGGCAACTGTCCTGTCTGTGTAATAGTTATTTGAAATTCCACGGGAGGTCGGTGATTTTACAAATACATGTACTGCAGCTAGAAAGCTGGTGGGTGTTAGCCATCCTAGAAGGAGAACAAACAGTGATTTTAATCTGACTGTATAAATAAAAAATACACACCTGAAAACACGGATACTTTCTTTTGCTTATGTAAACTGTGCCCGGACTGTGACATTTACCGGTAGCCGACGCTGAGAAAAGTCACGTCGGTCATCGTCGATCTCGTTTCGCAAATTGTGTGGTACTTCTCACTACAAAAACAGAGCGTTTATCGCATTTGCTTGGATAAATTATCCTCGGTTAACCTCACTTCATCAACACGATGGGGCGAACTATTAACCAAGAGGCCACCAGGACAGCGGCATCGGGAGCGGCATCAGTTGCGGAATCTAGAAGCGCGCGTACTAGATGGAACGCTTCGACCGAACGCGCGTTAGCGTACAGAGAAAACGATGACGCCTTCACAAAATTGTCTGATTTCGATATTGAAATCCGCTGTTATTGGTAATGGACCGTTTCATTTGATGCTGATTTTGATACTAAATACTTGATATCTAACAATTTCTCTTTTTTTTCAATAGTTTCTCCTTTATTCGTTTTCCAAAACAACATTGTATTCATATCCATGACACAGGGCCTTGATGCTCAATAATGTAATACATTATCGCGAATAATCTGCTGCAATGACGTCATAAAATCGACTGGTATCGATAACGCTATAATATAAGTACTATATATATACGGGTTTATTGCTTCGCGTAATAATATATTTAGCAAATCGTGGAAAAAAAACAAAAAAACTGAAGTTCACGTTTTTAATTAAAGATATTCGCGCAATGTACATATGGAAAAAATAGTGATTTGAGCAGATCGACAAATTACACACACATTTCCAAAAACGTGCACTCAATGACATTACATACACTATAAGATGTAATCATCATTGTTTGCAAATATACAATACGTAATTGGCCACGCTTATAATTTCTCCGACGACAATGACATTGACAGCAACATGACAGGCAAATTATTATACAAGCACGGGAAATGAATAGCTGATTGGTTTCAAATATCGGTTGCCATGGCAGCGGTCTTGGTCACTGGTGGTGGGGGAGGGATGATGAGTGAGTACCATGTTATCATTGTATATAATCAAGTTTAGGCTGAATGATTAAATATGATAAATAATATACGCTTTTACGAAAATTTAGTTCTGCCAAGTTTGAACAATATATTACGATTCATACCGGTTAATATTACACGTGCATATGCTATCTGCTAGATTGTAATAATGTCTCACATATATTGTAATATATTATGAAACATTCATGTAATTTTACGTAAATCTACAAATGTCAAAACTGTGAGTAACAGCTTTCAAAATGAGAGGTTCGGCGTTACACGGTAACGTATCATCTGTATCCGGAATCATTGAGCGTATTTTCTGCCGTGACCCGCAAAGAGGATTAAAACTATACACGTTCCACAACGTTGACGTAGATTTTGTGTTTGTGTCCGGATTTCCGTTAATACATTTATAATTTATGATTACATACAAATATATTATCTCTAACCCTTATCTACATCATTTGTGAAGGCATTGTCCGCTTCAAGTGACATTGGGGCATCCGACAACGTGTCAGTACTTCGTAAACAATTGCAAATCGCACACTCGTGACAGGAAAATGGCTCCCACGGTTCGCGGCGACACCAACGACGTTGTTTTGTTATGTGAATTTTTTTCAAACTAGAATGTGGCGTGTTGTACTTGTACGGTGATAGGCACGACTTGAAATTGACAGCCCTTTCCTTGAAAAACAAGATTCATTCGATACGTCAAATCCCATATGGGTATGCGCGAATTTGTACATGGTTTTTATTGTAGACGACTACACCACCGCATGAAGAACTGTTCTATCGAGCTCAACTTACCACCACTCCCGGAAAAATAAACGGCGATCGCGATATTTAATATTTTATAAAAGAACATACTTTCAACTTCCGCATCCTGTTATGTAAAATCACAAGAAGACACTAGAGTTATTTCCTAACAATGTTACTATGCTTAAACTGATATTTCAATATTTCTATACGGTTCCATTACCTGGTATGCTGAAGTTGATGGCATGATATTACATGGTGTCGCATTTCATATTATGTTAATTTAATTACAACACTGGGGAGTTTTTTTATGAATAACTTAAAGATGCGTTGAATGCGTTTTACGGTATCTATTTTTTTATATTTTACTGATATATTAAATCAGACTGCTTTATTTTTTGTATATTTACCATATTGCTAGCATGTTCTTGTATGCGTATGATTGTAATGTAAAACAATATTTAATTAATTAATTTAATTAAGTGTTATTAAACACTCTCAGTATAATTTACTTTAAGCGTGCTTCTTAGATCTGTACCACGTGAGTAAGATGAAAGAATATTTGAAATAATTAATTTTTGAAAAATAAAAAAATGAAACTTTGATTTACCAATAATTGTTGTCATTCGTATATTCTCACATATATCCGTTGGCGTCACGAGCATTTTTATAGATACAAAATTGAATCAAGTACTCGGATGTCCAAGTGAAAGGCTTAGACGAATTCCATTGTGCGCTATAACCTTGATTCCATACCTCCACTGAAATTCATTGTCGGTTACTATGGTAATATACATACACGCGTTACAGTTTTTTGATTTACTGTCAGTGTCTCACTGCGTTGAACATGGTGTCCATGGAAACAAACGTATATGCAGACACAATATTTCCACTTTTACTGTTTATTATTTGACACCATATTATACAACGAAGACGAGATTTGATGCATGTTCCTCCGACTAGACCTGTTAAATTACGGTCACTGTTTATATTCATGCGTAGCCTTTGACATGTATGTGTCTGTATTGAACACGTGTAATGCACAGATAACCGCATCAGTACTCCCGTCACCATCCTGATTTTGTGATGTAGCTACCATATCTTCAAAAGAAATGTAGTTGAGACCATTGACCATCATTGACAATAACTGGTCATACACCTCTGCTTTAACAACATTGTTATTAAAACATTTGATGAAGTTCTACCGATTATTGATTGTACTGAAAACATAGAAAACGAAAGAAAAAAAACAACTTGATTCTTGACGACGTAAGCACAGCTAATTAAGTTGGAAGGTTTATGAATGTGATCGAGACAAAATCGAGGCCAAAAATAAATCCCATGCGGTACATTAGCGAAACAGCACAATGGGCACACCATCGAATAAAGGTGCCGCGGTCTTCATTTGACAGCCCCAATTATGTATTTGGTTTCGACGCATATTACATTAGGACAATACCTTCTGCTAGAAGTAATTAAATGATGTACTTGCTCCTATGTATATATCACGATGGGGTTACACGTTATGTTGTCTGTCAATTATTTCCTTTATGATATATAGTAGATAATATTTGGTA